AATTATTTTCTAACAAGTTTATTCTTTTAATAGTTACCAAGTGACTTGTTTTAGAACTTGAAAGAGATTTTGCGCAGAACCAGGATGCTGGAGAGTTAGTTTCATATTAGTTATTGATTAGGTCTATGAGGTGGTTATTAATATATTATTTGCAGTTTTTTGACTTCTTGTTTGAATAATGAATTGTTAGTAAAAGATTTTGATAGTCAAATCATTAGTTCAGATTATGATAATCAGAATTTTAATTAGAAGAATGAAATATGGTGTGTATATAATATTCGCTTATATATTACTGTTGTTTCTGTGAAATGATACTGATTTTATTTTTATGCAGTTTACAAAACACCCGTGATCTTATACAAAACACCCGTGATCTTATACAAAACCAAGAGTTTGGAAAGTTAGTTTATATTAGTTTATTAAATATTAATATGTTAATTGGGTGTTCTACGGAAGTGATTGTTAATATCATAATTTTTTTAACCCTTAGTATTGAAGATAAAACAGTTGATCTATCATTAGAAGCTCGCAACTATCGTTCGAATTATAAGTATCAAACTTCTAATTAGAAAACAAGGTATGTTATATTTGCTTTTATTGGTTTGCCTTTGTGAATATTATTGATTCTATTTTTGTATAGTTCACAAGACAGTTATAGTGATGATGATGAATCACATAATACATTGCAGTTATATGTCGGCCTTAAATTTACTTCATAGAATGATGTGGACAAGTTTATAGAATTATATAGAAAGTGTAAAGAGTTTTCTTATTGATGATGCAGAACTGATTTCTACTCAGACTATTCAAATATTCACTATCATATTTATGAATGCTCATATTCACGTGCGCATAAAGCCAAAAAGGTGGTTGATATTACTAAGCAGCGTGAAAGGCCTTCTTTAGCAATCAACTGCAAATGGCATGTTAATTTTAATAGTCAGAAGGGAAGTACTGAGATAATTTGTACTTCTTTTGCCAATAAGCATGACTACGATTTGAATCTCTTAGTTGCTCAAACAGCACCACGTTTCTGTAAATTGTCAGAAGAGATACTTGAAGTCATAAAGTTTTATACATATTCTACAGAGGAAATCAGTGCTACTTTACAGTACAATCTTCTAAAATTAAAATATCCTGACAAGTATATTAAAAAAAAGATGTGTATAATACTATTTAGCGATTCTGATGACTATTTTATGAAAATTTAGTGACTGATACTGCAGAGACTTTAAAAAATTTAATGGTATTAAAGACAGAAAATCCTGAATAGGTGGTTGTATCCAAAATTGAAAGCAAGAAAAATAAGTTGATAGCTCTTTTTTGGATATCTTCATTACAAGTTTTACTCTGGACTCAATTTTATAACATCGTAATAACTGACAATACCTGCAAAACAAATCATTATGAAATGGTGTTGTGTTTTTTTTTGATCGTTAACAATGATACTCGGTTATATATTGCTGCGCAGGTATTATTAAATGATAAAACACAAACTACTTTTAAATAAGTTCTGGAACAATTAAATAGTGCAACTAATAGTATCATTCCCAAGACAATATACTCAGACGCAGACCCAGCTATGAATGCAGCTTTGTTAAACATATAGCTTAATACACATCATTCTCATTGTATATTTCATATGAACAATAATTTTATTAAAAAAATAAAATGCATCATGGGTACAAATTTTGGAGAATGCTATAAACTTTTTTGTTATTCTTATAATAGTCTATTTAAAGCTAACTTTGAGTACCATTAGGCATAATTTATTAAATTTCTTGGGCTATTAACCTGATACGCACTTGGAACTCTTTACCCCACACATCATAGTTAGGTAGTTTGTTATACACAAGCTTGTTTTACTGCTAGCATTCAAAGCACTCAATATATAGAAAGTATTAATGCAATTATTAAAAAAGAAGTCTCACATAATATAACATTATTATATTTATTTGATGCAATACAAAATCGGTTAAATGAAGAAGCATGTTATGCAAGAATAAATAAACAAAAGAATACCAACTCTACTATAGGTTCACCACATATCACAAGTTAATATTTTTCTACTATTGATTCCTTGTTAGGCACGTGCAGTTTGGTTTGTTTATTGTTTTCCTTTAATACGTGATTTGTTGTGTTTGCATCCAACTC